CGGCCTTTGCAGCCAGGATGATTAATGTTGGCTCGTGTCAAAGCTACGAAGCCTCCGAGATGACTACTAAGATTCCTGGGTAAAGGGAGATGACGAGGGAATTCCGCGAAAACGGGAAAGAAATTCCGTCCCTCCGTTGTGAAAACGTCGCCCGCGAATTTCGATCCCCTTTGACCCCTTTCACCTGGATCGAAGACTATAATTCGTCATTTGAGCGCGCATTCGAGATGTGAAATTGTACATGAGAATTTAACCCTCGCCCCCTGAATTACGATTAATATTCTCGATTTTTTTCCGAAATTAGGGGGAGATATAATAACGCAAGGGAGAAAGAAACGTCACCGCTCGCTGGGAATAAATCCAACATTGAGTTTCGCATAAGTAGGGGGGTTGGTGGCATTATCTGCTGGAAGCTGAAGTAGAAAACGTCGTTCTTCGGGGATATTGCCCTACCCGGCGAGTGAGCTCTGATTTCGCCCCTTTAATAATCGGGGGATATGAAACTCCCGGGCGAGCGTAAATTCGTATTACCTATTTACCTCCGAGGTTTGGAGCGGGACGAAGAATTGAAAAGTAGAGCCACGTGTGTTGGTATTCTCTTGGTTATTATTCTTTTTTTCTTTAGACTGGGAGGGTGGCGGTCGGGATTTCGATGATCGGCACCCCTGAGAGTGTCTTCCTGGGGATGAGAACTTTGACCCTTCGTCAAAGACACCTGCTGGATTGCAGCGAAGAGCCAGGGTCTGCGCGGAATTGGCTCGGGGGCACTTTGCGTGTTCCACTTCCGGCAGGATGCGAACGAGCTTACAATTTGCTTGAAAGGGGGATCCCACGTGCAGGGAGATACATTTCCGGGATGAGTCGAGGAGATGTAACGTTTTCGAGCGACACCCAAAGAGTTAGGCTTGCAAAGGGGAGTCCAAAGGCGATGGAAAGGAAAAAGAAAAAGTAATCGGTTAAGCAGGGAATTTTCAAATGGAAGGAAGAATCGATATCCGTAAAGAGGAATCGACCGACATCGCGGCCGGAAAGGCAGGACCTCTATACCAAGCGCACCTCGATACCAGATGTGCCCCATTTCATGTGTCAAAGGACAGGATAAGGATCTGCCGCGGCGACATTTTTGAACTGGGTTTGATTTTTATAAAAAAAAAAAAAAATAGTCCCAACTCCCTCAAGGATTTTTCTCGACGATTTATGTTACAGGGTAAAGGTCTCCTTAAGACTCCCCCGCGCTTCCTTTGTCTCTAGGACTTCTCTGACCAGGATCCTCCAGGGTCCTGGAACGCCAAAGGGATACCCGCAGTAAAATTGTCGAATCCGGGGGAAATAGAGAAAACGCCAATCCGAGGCGCCTTCCTTGGACAAAGGGAAGACACTTATTTGTCTTGCAGATCAAGCCTCGTCCTTGATACTCGCCTCTTTGATCAGCCACCATCGAAGTCCTGCAAAAGGATCCGACTTATTGGGTCGCTACGTCGGAGCCTCTTCTCTTTGGGACTCTGGAATGAAATTCCTCTCCTCTATGAATTCGGCCCGAAATAAATTTCTTCCTCGTTAATCCGAGGATTACGCATGGAGGGAATCGGCGGACCGGAAGGCGCCTCTCAGAGGCGATCAGCTGATCGACCGGAAGAGTCGCGGCCATTCGTCAGCGCTCTTTCCCAATTCGCTCCACTCCACCTCGTAAACTACCCCGACTGTCAAACCTCGGCCTCCTAGGAAAAAGGGGAAAGAAGAACATTTATCGAAAACGCATTTGCGACGAGTGCGAGTGAAATATCGGACCAGGGCCTCCGTCAAGTATTCGCGTCGCTGAGCGCCGGGACGGCTCGACGGTGATTTACATCCCTCCGAAATTCGCTTCCATTTGGACTTTTCAACCCGACAACTCGCTCGAAACGGGCACAAAGTGTCCCTCGAATTTTCTTTTTGTTTTTTCAAACTCCCCCCGTGTTACGGGATCCCCCGGTTTTATGAAAAATCGACGCTGATGCTTTCATTCTCCGTTCTCTCGTTATTGGGTAATTGATCTTCCGCTGCGCCGGGGAAGGCGCTCCTTAAATATCCCGTCGAAAGATGAGGACATTAATTCCGGGGAAGAGTGGCTTAAGGGTGTAATTTTAACCGCGACCTTGTCCCAGATACTGCCTCCGTATTTTTAAACTAATTTTTTAGTCCATGGACCCTTTGAGGGGAGCGAGAAAAATCGCGAAAAATCGCCAAGGTTATTTTTGAGACGTTTTCCGGGGATCGGAGGCTTGTTAAGGGCTTTTCTCGTCCTTAAAACTCGCAGGCCCTTTGAGAGGGATCGCATCCGTCATTCGAGCCCTCGCTCTCGCCTTTTCTGGAAGGTGGGCTGAAAAGAATCGCCGCCATTGGGGACTCCTTGATGCCGTGTTGGGGATGGATACGTTTCCCTGGACCCAGCCTCGGAAGTGACTCTGACTTCCTTGAGACCTTTTCCTGGGTTTAATGTGATTTTTTTTTTTCTTTCCACCTTTCCCTGCCTCCTTGCCCCGTTTTTGCGGCTCTTCCGGTTCTTTGAGGCTTGCACGCGGGATTCCTCAGGGGTGGTCCTCCCCCGACCACGGACAAGTCGGTGAATAGTTTCAAAGCTGCCCTTCGAACATCCCTTGACTGCTCCTTCCCATTTCCATGTCGCGAAGTCCTTTTCGAATGATTTTCACTTCACTAATCCTGCCGCGGGAATTTTCTCGCCAGCCCTGCGCGGGAAAATTGAAAATCGGGAACATCGGGTGGGAAATCAATTTCGCCAAGTTTTTCGGAAATTCGGTTAGAGTTACCCCGTAAATCCGACGTCGCAGTAATGTCCCGAGGAATTCTTCTATGAGGGAAACTTTTCTTCAGGGGATAACGGAGGTGGAAAGTTCGCAGGATTTACTGCAGGCCATTCCGTAACGAGTACTGGAATCCACCGGCCTGGTTTATGGAAAATTCCGTAACAAGTATTCACGTTGAACAGGGAAAATTCATCCCCCGTTTGAGGTATTCCCTCTAAGGGGTGGACATTCTCTGTAAGAAGGAATTGAGATCAATTATTGTCTCCAGGCGGAAGACGATTAATCGAGTCGATGCGTCCTTCCGCGAGGAGATCTGCGAAATCACGGGACTTCCTGGTAACTTCCGATTCCATTATGCCGGCGCAGATCGGAGATACTAGAAGACAAAACAATTTCCACTCGAGTACTCCGAGCTTCGTAAATCTTTCCAATCGACAGTTCCTACAGGAGGGCGGAAGGGTCGGGAACGTCGAATCCGAAAGAGGGACAGTTCTCATTAGTCTCCTGAGATCTGGGAACCTCTCGACCCCCATTGTCTCGGTGACTGAGACCTTCAATTATTGGAAGATCAAATCTCGCGAGACTCCCCTTAAAAAATGTCTCCACCTTCAATTATAAGGAGATCAAATGTCCAGGTCTTAAACCCTGAGAGTGTCGCTGGCTTTTCTTTTATTCTCTAAATCTTAAATTCATTTCTCTTGCTCCTCCAGAAGGACTGACGAGGGATTTAAATCCCTGGATCTTTGATTCGCTAAAAAAAAAATAAAGAAAATCCTGCGACGCTAATAATGCCATTTTTCAAATTTATTTGTGTCATTCAAATCTGCTGTCCGATGCCTCTCTGCAGTTTCGCCAAGTAAATGAATATATAAAAGGGTCGCAGGGTTTTTTTTAGCCGATTGAACGTTGATTACTCTCGTGGAATTTAATCCAAATTGTTGGAGAGCTCGCATTCGAGATCGGACGTGGAAGACGTCGAATCGCTTCGAGGGTGCTCGCCTTTTAATGGGCTTGCCAGTCCATTAACGCAATCTGTCAATACAGAGAGGGAGTGAAAACCAATGAAGGGAAAAATGAGCAAACGTTCGATTTGGCCAGTGTCGAATATTAAACCGAAACCTCGGGATCCCGGGAGTCATCGGGAACGCCTCGTCGAGGATCCTTGACGATCCTGATATTTTTAATATCTCTGATATCACGTCTATTCGTCCTTCCATTGCCAGTGGTAACTAGCCCGAGAGGTAATCTCCTCAAAGGGTGGCAGGACTAATTGATCGCAATACCCAGGAGATCAATCCAATCAGCTCCAAAGGACGCCTCCTTTGGCGTCTCGGATGCTCTTGTCATTCATGTGATATAAATGATTAAAAAAAAAAAAAAAGATCACGCGAATTCGCTCAACCAATCGCACGTATAAATGGCGAGGAGCTGTCGTCTGAATTTCCCCAGGAAAAATATGAATTTGCGAAATTTGCGAAATTTACGAAACTTCCACTTCGCGGCGGAGGAGCGTCTAATTTCGCCTATTAATTTCCCGGATCAATTCCAATCGTTGAAAGGGGGAATGTCACGGGAGCGAGGGGGGGCAGAATTTAATTTAAAGTAAAGTTCCGTCACTCCCACTCGGTATGCACCTTCGATTATTAATCGGGATGCTTCGATTCCACGAGCTATCCTGAATGGCACGGGGCGAATCGCGTATCCGGGAAAGGCGCGAGGAAAAATAGGGAAAAGGGATAAAAGGAGCCGCTTTGTCGGCCGAGATTCATTCTCATCTGCGAATTGGTCCTGGCAGGTGGAAATTCCCGATTTTCGAGGGAAAGTATTCCTCGAGTAATTGTCGCCTTAAATTCCCGAGTACCCTCGAACCACCGATATTTCGAGTTTAACCTTACTCGTGCATTCGCTATGCAGATAAATTGCACCGAATCCTCTTAACGGACTGCTAAGACTCTGATAAATTGACTTGTCGTATGTCAGTGTCCGCAGTTTCGTTCGACTCATTACTTATGCAGGTCGTCGGCCCGGAAGTAAACTCGGGCGAAGATAATTTCCGGGAGAAACGCGAGAACTTCCTTAGCGAGATTATAAGTGCCTTATCAAAGTTTAATTAATTCCCGGTTTTACACGCGGTCACACCTCTGCGATCGAGATTAATTCTGAAAAAATCTCTTTCTCTCGTTTCCAGACACCAAAATGGCGGGGATGGACCCACGTGGCGGTGACACCAGCCCCACTTATCAGCCGAGGTAGGACCTTATCAAGGCATTAAAACTTCACCATTCATCAGGCGAACTTGATTAAGGCTGGACTTCCCCTAATCGAATCGCGGGATCTTTTCGACAGTGGGAAAGAACTTCTCGCAAAGCACTTTCCCGCAATTTTTCAGCTTTTAAATGAAATTACTAAATTACCTTTTTAAATTTTTAATGAAATTACTAATATTTTCCCGGGGTCAAAGGGGCCATTTTGTGTGCCCCGTTGTTTTTTCTCATTTTCCTTATTTATCCTTGATTTTCCTCGATTTTTTAAATTCCTTTCCGTAACACTTGCTTTACGACTCAATTCACGGCTTGATTAAAACGTGACGGTAGTCGAATCGAACGCTCGTTAATTCGACGGGATTGCCGAGGTATAGAATAATTAAGTCCTCGTCAAAGAGAGGGAGAAAGAGAGGCAATGAAAGACGGCGCATCATGGCAACGATGGGGGGAAAGAAAAAAGATAAAGGTGGGAAAAGATATTCCCTGGTGCCGATTCAACGAGCACCCTCCTCGATTTTCTCCGTCGTCATCGCGCACGTTCGACGTCCTATCGGAAGCCTTCGTGCGAGATTTTCTTTTCAAGGACTCTTCCGTGATATTGCGTTATTACGGATCGATCGATCTCGGCTGGAATTTGCGGCGCCAGACGCGGAAAATTCGTCCCCGCGTAATTCCACGTTCCTCGATTTTTTTTCCCCTTAATTTCTGTACATCCCCAAGAACGCGTACTTATTTCACATCCTTATTGAATTTTGAATTTTCCTAACAAATTAAATGCCAGATTAAATGCCGGGCGTTAATAAATTCAATATTTCGAATTCCATATCTCGAGAAGAAATTAGGCCTTGTCGGTGAAGCTCGGCGAATCGATAAATCGAAGAGGTCTTCGTATCTCGATTTTTCCGAATTCCGTATTACGCCAGGAAAATGGTAGGAAAAATCTCGAATGAGAAGGAGGCATTACCCGCTGGATGAATGGAAAGCTCGGGCGGAAAAAGGAGGAGAATCGGATTTCGATGGTAAACAATGGAGGATTTTTCCTGTTATCTCAATATTTTTATTAAAGAGAAAAATGATAAAGATTCCATTCTCGGGAATTGCGACGTGTAGAAAATATTGGAAATTCACCGGTAATCGGAGGATTTACTATTTTGCCGTTTTTTTTTTCTCTTTTTCTTTACAGGCAGTGCAGGACACACAGCGTCGGGCTGCCGGCAAGGACCTCCTTGTTGCAGAAACCTCCACCCACCGGAAGTGACATCGCATCCCCGATACCTCGCCGTCACTCTGCCGCCCCCACGGTACTTCCGATCTAAAGCAATTACAATAAAACGACAACATTGCCAATCGTTGGCTTTTAAGACGTCGGACATGTCCTAAAACGTCAAATCCGCATAACGAACCTCCTTGGACTCGAAATCCCTGGGGAAAAGTTCCTCCCACTCGTCAGATTCGACCGAAACTATTTTTCTCCATTTTAAAAAGCGAACAATTATTATTCACTATTTTGTATCATTATTTACTACAGGGTATTTTATATCATTCGCGTCAATATCGAGGAGATCCAATTTTAGGGGCATTTCGAATCGAAACTCTGTCGCTCGATGCCTCGTAAAGGCCCTATTCAGGATTCGGCGTTTTATCGCGGATTTTATCACTGCTATCATTAGGACCGACTGGGATCCACGTCGCGGTTTAATTCCGTCTGCATGCGTTTGCTTTCAACGTTAAATGAATACCTCAACGGAGCGGGCCAATTAACTGCAGATTAGGGAAATGCACCGTTTAAATAGTCCGGAATATCGAATCCTCGTTATCGTCCCGGGTCCCAACGAGGACTCGTCTCGGGGATGTACTCGACGAAGGTGGTGTCCCTATTCCTCGGGGTACAGGGACATCTCCCAGGTAACGAGAAGATCAACCGAGGAAATCGGGGATTTACTATCCCGGAGTCCGGGATTTTAAACCGCGGTTAAATAAATGCAACGAGCCGGTGTAAAGAGGTCGGAGAAAACTAACGAGAAGTTCGACCCTTTAAAATCAAGATCTGCGGTTAGATCAAATGTTTAAAAATAATCAGCGAGTTATCTCGAGTTCTCCTTTCCCTGGATTATTTTTACACGTCAGGGCGCGCGGCGTTAAGGCCCGACCTGGTAATAAAATTAAATATTACCTTTGAACCCGTAACGAGCGGTACTCGGAGTTCCTCCGGACTTTGACATAAAAGCCGAAAGAAGCGCGGTTAATGTCGTCCAACATTGAATCGGGTACTTTGGTGTAACTAGTTCCCAAGTTAAGAAGTACCAAAGGGTAATAAGGGGCTTTAGCGCGGCGAAGCATGGCGGGTTATTACTAGGATTAATTCCGTAGCTGAAGATAAAGTACATATTAAAAAGTTCTTTCAACGCAGGTGGCGCCTCCGCCGATTCCTCTCCGACCACCAGAGATCCCGAAGAGAAACAAGAACGAGCGGCCCATCCCGATCCAGAAGCCAACCCCGAGATTCGAGCCGAACAAGAGAGATGACAAGGCGGCCGAGAGTGCGCCGATTTCCGCACCGATTTCCGCATTTCCACCGCGAGCTAACCAGACCTCGATCCAATGGCGCCAGCCAGAGCCAGCCGACAAGAAGCTGATAGACCTGGACGCCTTCAGGAAGAACGACAACTACGTCCTGGCCTTCGAGAAGGAACCCCAGAGCGCGAAGACTCAGTCCTTCGTGGCCGACTTCGAGAAGGCAGACTTCGGGAAGAGCGACGAGAACGAGAGACAGAAGTCCAACTTCGAGGAGCTGCAGAAGGCGTCGAAGGACCTGGAGAAGAGGTTGCAGGAGAGGGAACACCCGGTGTCCAAGTTTATCGACCAACAGAGGAAGCCTACGAAGAGGCCCCAGACTCACCTGGAGAAGGACAGGTGAGACGATCGGGTGGCGTTTGAATTCCAGATTCCGAATTTGGAGTGACTTTTTCATTGGACTCCTCAGGTCTCACCGAGACAGGCCCTGCTTCGAGGACCTCCAGGGCGAGCAGCAACTCCAGCGCACCAAGTACGAGGCTGACATGGAGAAGGCGAGGATCATGCTGCAGAACAGCCTGAAGAAGGAGAAGAGCGCCTGCGAGAGGTTGGAAAAGCTCGATAAACTGGAGAAGTTGCCCAAGGCTACCCAGACGAACATCCCTCCACCTTTGAGCTCGATCTGCCAGAGTCCGGTTCCCAAACCCATCGGGACCAGGCAGGACAGCACGGTGTCATCGGACAGCTTCAGCCAGACCAGTTCTCCGAGTTACACCAGCAAAACCATGGACGCTCCTCTGCTGCCTCACAAACACGTCAATGGCAAAGTTCCAGGTCATTATCTCATGAACTGAACCAGAAGCGCGAACGTTATTTCTCCACCCTGAAGAAGCCGAGCCCGAATTGCTCCCGATCAGCTGATCAAGACTCTCGATATCAAAGATCAAATGGGACTTTTATGGGCCTTAGGTAGAGCTCTGGCGCCGGATATGGAGAACCCACCTGGAAGTCCCATCACGAAGTCTATGAGCACCCCTGCGAGCTTGCAGACCATCGTCAGGTTCCACAACGGAAGCAACACCTCCCTGCACCACAAGGTAGACCCTATGGTCCCCAGGACTCGCAGGCATCGGGTCCTTTGATGTTATATTTATACAACGTCCAACTATGGCGCTATTTCGGTCCATGGCCTTTACGAGGGTTCTTGGTCGTGGCTTAATTAATGAGAAGCCTTGCGCGGTCCCCGTTTCCAGCGGAAGGGAAGCTGAGAGTTTGGCTTCCGAATTTTCAGGAAACGTGCCTTATGAAAAATGTGCCTCCCGATTTGTATTCCGACTACTTATCGCATATGTCCACTAGATGATTTTAATTTTTTTTATATATCGTGTATCTCGACTCGGTGATTTTTCTTTTATCATGTATATTTTGACTAGATCATTTCTCGGTCGCAGATCATCGGCAACATCAGAAGGCCCAGCAGCCATTATGTCACCAGGGAGAGGCTTCGCTTCAGGTTCATCCAGGTGGTCGTCAACGCGGTGGCTCTCCTGGCCATTGCCGGGGGCTTTGCTGCTTACTTCAAGTGTAAGTGTGGAGGCAAGAGTGTACTTTTGCTCGGTACACAGCCCTCTTCGAGGGATCCCGTGATCCCACGTGGGCGCACCTCCGGCGGTCCACCCTGGACCACTAAAGGATCAATAGTCACCACCTCGGGTCCTCTTCCTCTTCCGTGGCTCGCTGATGGACAAATCCGCTCTTGGGGGGAAAACTCTTCCCGCTAATTGCTCCTCTCTCCCGCGGTGCTCGGCTGCCGGTTTTTTACCCCTCCGGGGAGGGGATGTTAAATTTACAAGCGACAACGGGGTTCGCCTCGAATTTACCGAGCGTGCATGTAAACTCCGGGGATTGATTTAATTGGAGGAATCCCATTTGTCGCGGTCGCGTACCCGGAGCCCGGATAATCCCGGGGATATACTTTGAAAGCTTCCCTGGGGGTCGCCGATACAGGGTGGTAAGTCATGGACCCGACGTTTCGGTAGGTCTTTCCAGGGACCTTTTTGCGATTGCGCGATCATGACGTATCCTAATTGGAATATATTACACGGCCGACCCTTGCGAGCTGTAAATTTAACACCCTGTCGCATCCCTCGGGATCGTCGCCAGGATGGCCGACCCGTTAAGGGAGGGTGTAACCGGTCAGCCCTCGAATTTATAGCCTCATATTTTAGGGAGGAAAGTAAAATTAATCAGCGATCACGATTCAATTGTAGAACTCTCCGTCGACTTTGTGACGTCTACCTTCCTCCCGAAAATTGAATACACTTGAAAAAAAAAAATTGCATTTTTATAGTTTCTTGAGAAATTAGAGGATTTATTTTTTATATTTCCTCGGGATGCTCCGACTTCCTTAGGAGTTAGGACATTTTTTTTCTTCGTTCACAGGGTATCCGGCACATCTCGTGAAATTCGAGAACAAGACCCTCCCCGATCCGGGGGTGGTTGTGATCTCGGAGCCAGTTAGATTGGAAGTGGAGCAGAAGAACCCAGCTCCGGGAATCTGCCTGCCCGTCATTGTGACGTTTTGCCAGAATCACAAGGTGAGCGTTGATTAATTTAAAGTACCCTGAAATCGGTGATACGGACGTCGTACGTAAATATAAAGAAGTATTAATAGAAATCGGACCAGACTGGCCGTGCCCGATAAGGAGCCCGTCCCTCGGGCGTTATCTCTCATTTTTATGTCCAGCACGACGTCGGACATTAGGCGCACGCGTTGGTGCCATAATTTTGTGGTCCCCGCTGTTTGCTTCCCTTTTCCTCGCCTTTTCCCGGTGACAAACGCGCCAGGATTAGAGGACCGATCCCACCCTCGAGTCCTCCACTCTGAAACGTTGGAAATTAACCGAACATTACCCATGTCCGGTATATTAATTTCAATTTAAGTACTCTTTTGGAGTAACATCACAGCCTGGTATCTAATCGGGAAAAATTCCCTTAATCAGCCGGACTTTCGTGAATTACCACCCGAAGTCTTCGACTTGACTTTCGACTTTGCGAGTTCCACTTTCGACCCATTTCGCGAGTTCCACTTTCGACCCATTTCGCGAGTTCCACTTTTGACCCGACACCTAATCCGAGCCTAAATCAATTTCCCCCAGATCCCGTACAACTTTACCGTGTTCCCGAATTACATGGGCAACTTCGGCCAGCCGGAAGCCCAGCTGGAGCTGGAGCTTTACAATGCGGTGGTGGACGTGAGGTGTTACGAGCTGGCCGCGTTGTTCCTCTGCACAGTGTTCGTGCCCAAATGTGGATCCAAGGGCCAAGTGGTGCGGCCCTGTCGCAGCCTCTGCTACCGTGAGTCCATACCATTCCCGAAAATCCCCGTAAACAATCCCCTGCACCCTGTAACCCGATTCTGAAACATCCACCATGACTTTTGAAACACTAAAAAAAAAATTACGTATTTAGAATGCAAGGGTTAATATTTCTTTTTTTTTTTTTCCAGAGACCAAACGGCGTTGCGGATTTTTCTTGGAGGTGTTCGGACTGAATCTCCCGGATTACTTGGAGTGCGACCTCTTTCCGGAAAATCCGGACGCTGACAAGTGCGTTGGACATCTGGAGGTCGTCGAAGCTGCAAGACGCGCCGAGAAACATGGTGAGCTTTTTGCAAAGTTTTCTTTTTTTTTTTTCTGTGCATGTAATGTAAGGGGTTTTCCGATTATCCCCACATCTTTTGGTAGAATTAACGCACATTATGCACCCCTGCACCGCATTTCCGGCGCGGATATTTGCGTCGCGCGAGCGGGCCTTTGTCCGCGGTTTCGTTGCAAGTGCGAGTGCACATCCGAGTTTCCCGGCGAGAATGGCTCTAATTGTCGCGCCTACTCAGAGGGGCTTTGTTAGGTGCATTGTTACGTCCCGATGACGCGTCTGCCTCTCGGATCAGCACCAGAGAGGAACCCTCTCGATTTTTCGCGAATCCCGCCGAACGATTCCCCCCCATTCGAGAGGACTGAAAGGGAGCTGCGATCAGCTGATCGAGCTCGAAACGTCAGTCAAAGAGACTCGCATGAAAAATTAAATCCCATTCACCGAGGAATTATCGCCAGAGCACTATCAAACGGAAAAGTGGAAAAAGACATGATCTTCTTATTTTATCCATCTCCATGATCGAGATCACGGAATTTATCGAGAGGATTTCAGGGTTTATTTTATCCACCTGTGGTCTTCTTTTTGGGGCCATTGTCGATGAATCGGAATTTTTTACCCATTCTCCTTGTCCGCCTCTTCGAGATCGCTTATTTTATCTCCGTTCCCGGACAGATCGCGATTAAGTATCCTGGAATTAATCGACTGCCTGGGTGGACCCGATTAACGGAAGCGAGATTTCGGGAGCGCCCCTGGAAACGAGATTTGTCTCCAGCTCGTCGAATAAATCGCGGCTCCGTCCACCCCTTTTTTTTTTTTTTCTAGGGAGATCGGAAATCCTCCCTTCCCCGTCGCCGATGAGCCCGTTCGCGGTTCGATTTTTCCTCTTTCCACGGACTCAAAAGTGGAGTCTGTAGAACCGAGTCTATAGAATTTTATTCGACAATCCCGATTCAGCCCCCCTCCCACTTTAAGCTCGTTCGGCTCGTAAAAAGCGTAATAAAAATTCACGCTCGCGTATATACCAATTTCTCTTCGGTTTCTTTTTCTTTTTTCATTTTCACATGGACTCCGTGAAATCAAAGTTATATATTACTCCGCGATCGTCCTTTAAGTCCCCATTGCAATCGTCGCACGATGTCATCCCTTTCTGGGGGTAATTTGAAAGCCTTCGAAATGCGACGGAGGAAAATCGGAGGAAAAATCTCCAGGTCCATCTGGACGTTTCCCAGGGGTTGGTCCATCCCTTGGAAGACTGTGAGTTTTTTTTATTTCTCGGGCCCTGTTTAGCGACATTTTTTTTCTGGTTTCCAAGAGGGGGTGAGGGGCGAGGATCGATCACGTCGAACCACCCTCGAACACGGGGACGTTAGATATCGGCCACTTGGAATAAATCAAGCGTGGCTCGCCCTTTCTCGGGGGATGGAAAAACTTTCCATGATTCCCGATCCTCCCAGTCGAGGATTCCTAGAAATTTCCAGTCCAAGTTTCGAGAAGAGTCGCCAATCGAATTCCGAGGGCGAGTCGGGGTGCATAATGAGGTCTATCGATCTCGGATCGGCGAATTCCAGGACGCGAGGGTGGACCGAGGCGTTTACACCGGTGGTTTATCGAGTCGGCTAATTAAATCCATCTGTCCTGTACATGCAACCCTAACGTGTACTAATTCGACGTCATACCGTAGAAATTCCAAGATTTTCAAGAATTACCCCGAAATGCTTTAATTTTCGGTGCACCCCCTGACGTTTGGTTTCTCTTGCACCGAAATTAAGAAAATTCGGAGGAAAGGTAAATCTCGCGTTAATTAAGATTTAAAAATGCCAACCCTTTTTTTGGGAATTTCTTGAGCCCGATCTGTCGCCCGGGGCGCAATTAAAAGCTCTCGGCTCATTAAGGATTCAAATGGCGTGCCGCAGGATTTAAGGGGACGCCGAGGAAATCCGCGATTCGGATTTACAGACCCACGAGATTACCTCCTGGATAGAGACTCCCTTTTATTCCGCCAAGGGGATTGCAGGATAGCGAGTCGATTGAAAAATCGTCGCCTAGAAAATCCCTGACAATCGTTTCACCTGGGGAGCATCCAGATATCGTCTCTTGTAAGAGTTACCGCTGTTGCGCCGCGAGCGAACCGGCATATGCAAATACGCGGTCGCGGTTTATACACCCTCGAGGTTTCCACAGGCGTGGTCGCACGTGCAACCGTACTGATGGAAACGTAATTGCAAAATCCATATTAAACTGTCTGGTGACTGCGTAAACACCTGCGCGCCTCATCCGGGCCTCGTTTGTGGGAATTCGAAGGGCAAAGCTAGTGATAGCAGGTCCCCTGGAAAAAAGGGACAAATGAGGGAAATGGGAAAAAAAATAAGAAGGGGATGAAAAATATCCGGGAATAATTCCCCGCCCTGGGGACTTAGACTCTTCCACGGTGGAACATCTTCTACCGTAGTTTTTCCTTCTCTTGGACCTTTAACGCAGTATGCACCAGTGGCTTCCAATGCGACGGAACCAGATGCATTCCGGTCGATTGGAGATGCGATGGCCATGTGGACTGTGCGGATAAGAGCGACGAGCTGGGATGCGGTGAGTGCACTTCGACGAGTGGGCCGGCAATTGCCGGGAAAAAGGGGAAGAAAACGGGAATGAAGAACGTTTTCGCCAAGCCGCTCATCCATTGCGGGGAGAGGAGGTGCATGTCTTCGTCCCACATATGCGACGGCGTCATGGACTGTCCCTGGGGCCAGGACGAGAGGAATTGCCGTAAGGACCACTTTATCCATCCCTCTTGAACGTTCTCTCGGTGAAATCCTGGAAATTTCCTTGGAATACTGTGATCTTCCGAATTCTTTAATCCTGGTCCAGTGAGGCTCAGCGAGAGGAACGGCGACGTCGGCAAGGGGAGGCTGGAGGTTTACCACGCGGAGAAGGGAGCCTTCTTACCGGCCTGCGTGACGCGGTGGGAGGCCACATCGGCACAGGCCATTTGCTCGTTTCTGGGATACTCGTGAGTAAAGGAATTCCTCGAGATTACCTCGGAGTCTCCCGGGAATTCACTGGCTCTCCGTTTACCAGGGTCGCGAACTCCTCCACCTTGTACGTCAGGGGCACCAACGTCACCCCCATGGAGGAGAAGGTGGAGATCCAGCAATGGCCACTGGCGCACAAACCCCATGTGAACTTGCTCAAGGAATTTCAAGGATGCACCGAGCAGAAGGCGCAGCAGACCGTCGAGCTCACGTGCTCCGAATACGGTAGTCTCGGAGGATCTTACATCTCCTTTTACTCCTGGAAAATCGACGTAAAAAGACGAACCGGGATTTTTCAGAGTGCGGCAGGAGGCGCCACAATTATGGGAATCTGAGGGCTCAGCCGAGGATCGTCGGCGGGGTCGAGTCCGCACCTGGTGATTGGCCCTTTCTGGCAGCTCTCCTAGGAGGTCCTGAGCAAGTCTTTTACTGCGCGGGAGTCCTTATCGCCGACCAGTGGGTCCTAACCGCGTCCCACTGCGTGGGGAAGTAAGTAGAGTTCCTTCGATATCCCGATCGATCGATCGATATCCAGTTAACGACTCATTTCGATGCCATTCCTCGTCATTCTCATGACCTCGCAAAGTGAGCAGGTCCGTCGCGAATTATAATAATTTCCCCCCCTTCCCCACGACGTCACGTTCTCATTCTCACGCTCGATTTCTCTGGGCCACTGTGTGTCAAGGAAGAAATCTGGCAGTTTCAGCCATTCCGATGTGTCTGGCTGGACCATCCAGCTGGGCATCACCAGAAGACACGCTCACACCTATCTAGGCAGGAAAGTCAAGGTGAAGAGGGTGGTGCCCCACCCCAACTACGACCAGGGCGTCCCCCACGACAACGACGTGGCTCTTTTTCAGGTACCTCGACTTAAAAGGCCGTTAACACCTCAGCCATTAATCCTTATCCCGCCTTGATAAGCAAACCTCATTTTAATCCCAGCTGGAAAACCGAGTTCAGTTTCACGAACACCTGAGACCAGTTTGTCTACCAACTGCGGAGACCGATCTCACCCCTGGCACCGTCTGCACGGTGATCGGCTGGGGAAAGAAAGAGGACACAAATGGTAAAACTGATATTCTCATAACTGATTGATGAGTATTTTTTAATTACTCGCATATTTATTATGGACTTCCGAAATGACGCTCTCTGTTAAAAAAAAAAAATTTACACTTTTTCTCCTCTAGCCTCGGAATATGCACCTGCTGTCAACGAGGTGAAGGTCCCGGTGCTGAACAGGGAGTTGTGCAATTTGTGTCTCGGGCACAAATTTAATGTCACCGACGGCATGATGTGCGCTGGGTACCTGGAAGGAGGGAAGGACGCTTGCCAGGTAATTATAATAATTTGTGGTGATTTGGGGTAATCCATGGTAATTTAGAATATTTTCATTGGGCGTGGATAACCGATGTCCAGGGTAATTTTGGGTGGATCTCTATTTTCGGATTTATCCCTTTTTAGGGGGATTCCGGGGGACCGCTGCTGTGCCAGGATGAGACTGACCAGGAGAGGTGGTTCGTTGGTGGGATCGTCAGCTGGGGCATTAAGTGCGCCTATCCGAATCTACCTGGAGTCTATGCCTACGTCCCGAAGTACGTGCCCTGGATTCACAAGGAGATCGCAAAGTACTCCGAGAAGGACAAGGGGTAACACATGGGGAAGAAGGAGGTCTCGAAGAAAAAGAAATCCCAGACCGAAGAGAACCGCGGTCGTCTTACGAAGTGGCTGGCCGAGACGGCAGGTCGAACGATGCACGGCTATAATTTTGAATGAAAAATCAGGGGAAAATGGGGAACGAAAAAGAGGGCTTCCAGAGAGAGTTCCATGGTCGTTTTTCGAGTCCATGTACTACCGGAGGTGGTGGGAATGGTAATTGCGTCAATTGAATCGATGCGCTCCCATTTATCCCGAGTTTTAGGCTCCATGGGGGAGGTGCGTTATTCCCGGAATTTTGTAATGTAATTTAATTAACGCATGGATTGTTCAAGAGGTGATTACGGTCCACCAGGCTTTGCGGAATCACGATTTCCAGTTTGTCGTTGTATTTGCATTTTTTGGGAAAGAGAGGAATTAATCGGACGCCTCGTCACCTCGAATACGGGGGACGCATCAAGGGAACTCCAGGGAAGGTGACATGAATATCACTTTTTATAATCGGAGATGACACGTATATGTAGATTAGGACTATCTAGAGCCTCGTTTAGAGTATACTGTAGAGGGTAGAATCATTCGGACGGAAAGGTGTCGCGAAAGAACGGCGCAGACGAGAAAGCGAACAAGAAATCCCCCCCAAAAATCGGGCCTTCCACTTTTGTCGGGAAAAATTGAATTTTTTAATCTTTCTCTTTTAACTTGCAGCAGTAAGTGCTTCTGGAAGTCTCGGGGAATGTCGAAATTGGTATTCTGACGGAATTTGGTGGCGATTCTTCCGCGCTTTCTCGGAGAAAAGAAAAAAAAAAATGAGATAATTATGCAGTACTCGGTTCTCGACCGATTTCGAGCGGGCCACTAAATGAGAGATTCGGGAAATGTCCGTCTCCTTGAAAATGAAATATCGGAAACATAGTAAGATTACGTCAATCGATAATCGCATGCACATGAGAGGGGGTCCTCTCATGGGGCGTCCTCGTCGTGGCATGTGATAGCAAAGTTCAGATAACGTGCGGCCGCGGCCAATAATTTCTAGATTCTCGAATGCACCAAGTACTTTTGGTATCGAATTGGATCTAAGCCGATAATCGCGCGCATGTGATGCGATAAAATCATTTTCTATGTCGTCGGTAACCAAAGATTATCAAAATGCGCCACGAGGGCCACAAAGTGGCGGTACTGTTCAGGTCTGCAGTTAAGACGATCGTTATCCCGATTTATGAATTTTTCCACGAGATATTGAAACCACATATCCAGTAATTTCACGTTGCAATTAAACCCCGACAACGCAAACAATAAAACGAGGAAAGCAGTGAAAATAAATCGCGCAGACGTAGTGCAGAAAATTTAGTGTTGCAATTATTGCATACATGGATAAGGGTTGTTTTAACTGCACTCCCGGTGGATTAGGATATACACGCATACACTATATATGTACTCTAGATAAAATTGCATATAATGCGAATTATGTAATTTAGGTGTAAGGTAATTATTAAAGTAAGGTGTAGGTGTAATTTTAGGTAGATTAATGGCAGCGGCAGTAACGTAAGGCATTCGCAAACTGCATATGTTAATCTAAGTGCAACATAGGCTTAACCATTCTATATATTACAATAATCTTGTAATCGGTAAGGAAGTGTAGGATAGGGTTGCGTGATCAGAGCGGAATTATTCCGGCCAGGAAAATAGTAAAGAAAATTCACATTCATGGAAAATGTAATTCTAGTCTCTTTAATTTCTACAACAATAGTCAGGACGTATTTATTACCTCAGTGGGTCTCTTCAGTGAATTATTCCTGATTTTACAGATTTCGGCAGTTAGTGGTCATTAGACATGCGGAATAGATAAGTGTAAATAATTTTCCTGGACGGATTTTCCCCTGTCACGAAATTATTAATAACCGTAGAGGTCAGATATAGATTAGATGCTTGTAGGTAATTAGAATAGCACTTTAGGCAGATAGTGTTAGTACACTTCGGAAACATGTTGACTGAATTCTAGGGATAATGCACTGCACCAGCACTTTTTTGATCCGCACTCTAAAGAATAGTTTTTGAAAAGATATACTTTATATGGGATATTGTTTATGGAAAATAGGAGCCTTACTAATTGACTTAGACTTTTTCTAAGCGATAAGACGATTAGAGGTATTGTTGGTAATATCGGTGACAACTGATTTTAGTTCCCTCCGATATTTTTTCTAGATAAATTTGGTAAATTTCATGATTTAACTTCGTTCGAAACGTCTACGGATTTTACGGGATTTCCTCCGGATAGAATGTTAATTTCTTACTAAATTAAAAATTAAAAGGCTGTATATTTTTAAATTAACTTTCCAGATCTCTTTATTCTCGAGCTTTCGCGGCAAATGAATTCTCCGACAATAAGATCAATCTGACAATAACTGTCTTCCTTAGTATCCAGGCAACACTTAGTTGTAAAAAGAAAAAAAATGTAATAATAACCGACAATACTGTGTGAACAGACAATAAATAGAATTAGGCAATGTTCCATGATGGACAATAACGTACCGATTAAGGTTTAGAATAAGCGTTAGCGATAAAACAATATATTAACATTACTCGGTAATTGTGTAAAAACAGTCAGTAACAAATTCTGAATTAAGGGAAATTACACGATTGCTAATCACACGCCTCGGGCTGTGATTAGCAATTACAATAAAAATGAGCGAGCAAGAGAGGATCCGATTTTGGAATGCGCACACACCGTGCAGAAAGTTTGTACATAATTAATGTAATTGACAATGTGTTAAATATTCACTAACCGACCTACGAAGGAAGGAGTGAACACACATTGTCAAATTCCGTGGATGTGTCGGCGCGTGTGCTTGTTTACGATTATTTAAAAAATTTCGTTGCAGATAATTCGAGGTATAAAAAAAAGTCGTACGTTAATAAGTGTTGATTATTTAGTAATAATTAGATGTTGTATATTTCTCGATTTAAGTCGGCGTTGGAAGAAACTGAAGAGGCTATTTTACCGTTGAACAAATTTTTCGATTCGGTTGAGACGATGTTAAATGTTGTCGCTACAGGTGCAATGAATGTTTACTAGTGTTTGGAAATTGGTGTTTTGCGTGTAAACGATGTACAGCGATTATATAACGAGATTTCCGGGATTAAGCGAAGAGACTATTTTCAAGGCAGGACCGATCGAACTCTATTCTCTAAGTCACTATTGATCGGATTTAGTAAGACAACCGAAGGTGAGAGTTAGAAGTCAATAACGATAGTCAATTTAGAAGTAGCCCCTAACGAGCGATTTCGCCCTAAACGTAAGTTCCCACATCGAGGACCCCTCGTTAATGTTACTATTCTTTTTTTTTTTTCAACCTCCCAATCGCATATCTTCCGATTTTATAAATCAATTTTAATCCCGGCGAGAGGATACCTTAATTATATAATTTATACCGAGGTTCCTTATCCTTTTTTTTTTCTTTCTTCTCCACTTCGAGCGTTCGTTGCTTCCTAGGTGTCCCTTATCTATCTAATGTTAATTAAGAAATTTATTAAGAGAAACTATGCACAAAATGCCCGGTCCAACCGAGGCGACCGCTCTTCGAGAGAAACTATAAGGTATCGCAACTGCTCCTGTCAAGTCAATGTCAAATAGCTGATATACACGATATAAATGTGAATATACTTAGATTAATACATGATAACGCGGTATATAAAAGTAGCGTTAAAGAAATGCCCGGCTGAAAGGCAATGTCGTAGGTCACGTTTGATATGAATACATGTCCTTTGACATCTCGTGAAAATGACGACAAACGTCAAGCAAAGCGGTTTTGCCTTTCTGCCACGTGGGCGAGGCACTATATCTGTAGCGTAAACAATTAAAAAAAAAAATATATATAACAATTGTCTCGAGTAAAGTGAAAAATCCAAATAGTCGCTAGCTTGTAACTTGACATTTGGCGAGATATGGCTAACTTTTATCGAGTTCCTGCCTAATCTGATTTTCCCCGGGATAATTGACACTTTAAACTGCACGCACAGTCGGAATACATTAGGGTAAAATGCGTAGCAGTTAGTACATGGTTCGATCGACTATTCGTAAGAGGAAAAAGAATTGCGAATTTGGAATTAAGTACCCACTTGTAACGATTAGTTAACGCTAACGACCTCTCGTGCTCTCTACATTGTACATAGTGAGTATGTATCGCTTCATATTCCGCCTTCCACCGACGTTCCTCATGTGATAAGGGCGTCGATCAGCTGATTGGGAAGAATAAAAGGGAAATAATATGTAAGATCAACAAACTCTCATGACGAACGATCGGCAGGGGTTGTGAGGCATTTAAATGTGATTGCTTCTCGTGCACAGCACAAATCCTAATCGTACAATCAGTGGTCGACATTTACTATGTGTAAGGAGATCGCGTAATACATGTTACAAATATTATATATATATGATTATATGACAAGGGGGAGGCGCCCCGGAAAATCTGACAAATAGAGTAATGTTTGTATGTTGGTATATATATTATATATATTATAACGTTGGATGAGTAGATCAACTGTCAGCTGTCATCTGTCGCCGTGATGGGCACTCAAGCTATCGTTGTAACGCTAATTGCTTCATCGGACACGAATAATGGGCACAGAGTAATTCGAGTAATTACCTGCACCGAGACAAAAAAAAAGTGTCACTGAACCAAAGAAATATTTTATTATTTCCATGAATAATTATTAGGCCGAAAATAAATTCTCATGTTTCCGAGTTTACTTGCGGTAAATAATTATTGTTTGAAATAAGAGAGTATTTATGTGGTACTATTCAATGATGGTTCAATGACACTTTTCTTCTCAGGGTGCGTCCTTCTTCTCGCAAGAACACTCGGCCTTTAGATACGTTTATTATTACCAATGAGATATAGTAAATGTCAGTACCGCAAAATTCAAGTCGTTATGGTCAAAGTATTAATTTCTTTGAGAAATTGGAGTAATAGTCGGCGCAATAGTGTTTACGCTTGCACTGCCTTCCCTTTTTTAGCGTAAAAGCCGAGGCGACT